TGGTTAACTTGTAGTGACTTCTTCAAGTGCATCTCACAGATCGATCCTTTTACCGTCTATTATTGCATAACCCTCCTTTAGGAATGCTCTTTTGCCGTTGTTTCGAGCTTCCTGCACCTTGGGCCACAGCTTGATCCGAGCTTCACGGTCTTCTTTGGAGAAGTCCTCTTTAAATTTTATGTTCAGTTCTTTGCAGACCCTGGCCTCTTTGGATTTCCTCCATACTTCATCCCTTGCCGTCCTCATGCCGAACTGTATGATGATTGGTCTTGGCACCTTGTTGCTCACTGCATTGTCTTTCTTCCCCAATCGGTGTACTGTATCAACCATGAGCTGCAGTTTTTCCACTGATACAGGAACCACTTTTGTTAGAATGGCGATCACTGTTTCACGTGTATTCTCGTTGTCCTTCTCTGTCAGACCCAAAATTCTGAGGTCCCATCTTCTGCGGTAACATGCACTCTCCAGACAGCTCTCCTTTAATTCTTTGTTTTCCTTCATCAGCGACTCCACCTTCGTCTTCAGCTTGTCAATTTCCTCTCTGTTTTTTTGGGTCGCCTGTGTATTTACTTCAATGCGTTGTTCGAAGGCTTCCAACTTCTTTTCAAGCGAATCAAACCTTTCCTCGCTTTGTGAAGCCAAGTAAAATTTCATACACATTCTCGATGCTCACCTGCTTCTCAGTTTTGCTTTTCATTTTTTTGGGATTGGGACTTGGTAACGGGGTGTGGTCACCTATGGGTCTTCCGATCTCTTTCTGAAGTTCCATCTCTTCTATATCTTCGTCCTCACATGCTTCTTGCATAGCAGCAAGGTTGTAATCGTGGTCGGAAAGGCTACCTGTTAGCTTGGGGTTAGCCATTTTTATCGCTCTAAGTTTATCTTTGTATCTGCCTGAAGGTCTGTCAAAGTAACTTCCAGGGGGTTTCGCTTGCGTTCTACTTCCTTTTGGAGTAACAGTTTGTCAGTAAAGTATTTTTTAGGACATCAAAATCACGTTTCTTAATCAGACCCGCAGATTGTACAACCGCTTATTCCGCCATCTTTCTCCTCCATTGTCAGGCACTTTTATTTTTGATATTGTAAATAAATGAGTACTTTTTGGAAAGTCAGAAGCTGTTGCTCATTCGCTATCCACCTGCACACCTCCGCGGCTGGCTTCACCTCCATTGCACGTTACAACATGAGCACTTGTTTGGTAATTACATAGCCATGAAAATAAGAACTTAAAAAGCGAAAGTAAATGCAATTAACGAAAATGATTTAAAACAAGCAGAAAAAAATGCAGCTTAATTGTTATTTCATCAAGATCAGTTCCTGGTGGACTTTTGACTGTACCAAGCGTCATAGCTGGGGTCTTGAAGTGATTTGCTTAGCCCCCTTTTATGACCTTTGGCTTGAAGTACTTGGGTCGTTGATACAGTGTTTTTGTGTTTATGGATTTTTGACTGGTGTTTATTCTATATATAAATATAATATATATTATATTATATTTATTGTTTACTGTCTACTTGTGTTTCCTAGTTAAGTGTCTTGTGGTGAGTTTATCAGTACATCTAGTTTAGGTGGTCTTGGTTGTTTTTTGGTCCCTTTCATGTCTCTGTCTTGTCTCTGTGTCTTTCCCTCAGCATCTCCCTGTAAAGTCAGTCTTGTGTCCATGTGTTTTGGCCAGTCTGTCTCCTCAGTCATGTCTCTGGTGAAGAGTGGATGGAGTGGCCTTAAAAGCAGGATTGCTGCCGATGGCTTGCAGGTGAGGCTGGGCCAGCGCTGGTGGCCGACTTTGCCCAACACAGGCCAAAAGGACCAGAAGCACAACACTTCCCTGGACCATGACGTTAACGTGCTGGGTGTCACCAAAATTGCCCTCAAAAGAATCCTGAGTCAGCTGTGAGTAATTTACATGGCTGCTGACTTCCTTGGATTTAGAAGTCACCTGAAAAATGCAGGTGGAGTGTTGACAAAGCAGCCTGTGAAACGTATTAGATTCAGACATTCTCACAGATAATGATTTGAAAGCGCTCCTGAGCCTGCACTTGATCAATTTGCTTCTTTATCAGTCCGAACATTGTCAGAGCTGCTTTCCCCTTTTTGTCATCATTTGCACTTTCCTTGCTAATGTATTAATATGTTATTACTTTTCAAACACCATCTCCTCTACATCACACATGTTAGCCAAGGCGGTTATGGAGAGGAAACTCATCTGCAGACCGGAGATTTATCAGCCACCAGGTCACTCTTGGTCCGTCTGCGGTCTAGAATATAGCCCCGGACAGACACGTAACATGGAATTCATCATTTTCTGCCTTCACATGAAGCATATTTTCCAATAAATGCTGTAACACTTTCCTTACTTCTGTCTTCGATGCATTGTTGGAGGTCTCTGGAGAAAACTATGCCATCTAGATACATAGTTGAATTCAAAAAGTGCTTCAGTATATCATTTACTGAAACTTGACAGACTGTTGATGCATTGGTTAGCCCAAAAGGCATCACTTAACTCTTTGACACATAATGGTCACTATAGTGCACAGCAACTCAAAGGCTGTTTTCTTGTATTTGTGCCAGTGTTGATGGTATACTTGCACATAAACCACTACATTGGACACTGATGTGTCACTCCATACACATCATTTGTCCACCTAAGTGGATGGTTAAAGTGGATTTTTAAAAAAATGAAGTTCAAAAATCTTTTTTTTATGCCTAAACATTAATAAAAATACTTGAGAAAAAAATCCCGATTGAGGTTGTGTTTTGGCCTTTATTTCAACAAAGAGAAACAAAAAGATGGTTGTATGATTCCTGCGGTGAGTAAATCAAATTTGACAAATTTGGTAGGTTTTGATTGATTTTGATATACCTTTATTAGTCCCACAAGGGGAAACTTCATGCAAAGAGATTGCTTCTCTTTCAGGAGGAAGGAGGCTCCAGAGCTGGTCGGAAGGAGGGGGAGCAGCAGATCAATAGTTGTATGCTTTGATGGTGGTTCCACCATCACTATTGCACTTGTTCTCCCACTTGGTTGGGTTTAGTGCATTTTTGGGGGCTTTTTAAAGCATCCTTAAATTTCATCAAAACACCCCTAAAAATAACAATAACAGTAGCAGGAGGACTCATATTTTCTGACATCGTCTTCCAACGTTGCAATTTCCCAATTTGTCTACTGAAGACAGTACAGCTTGTCCAGTGTTCTTGATGTCATGATAGTGCACTCACATAGAGGTGTTATTACTGTTGTTAATAATGACAAGCCATGCTGTTGAAGCACACAGCACCTCTGTGTAAAATAATATGTGCTGCAACATTAGGAGGAAGACGAAATGGTAAATTAGATTGAAAACAGTTTAGCTGAAATCCAGTGCGTGGTTAGCACAAAGCCTTCAGGGATCAGTTCAAAATGAATGAAACTTAATAAAGGGCAAGTGTAGTCAGGCTGTCACAGTTTATGTGGGCCACGTCACTTCTGAAACACTCCCATGAGGTGAGGTAGGCAGAAAAGGAGCTGCTGTCAGTGAGCTGGAGTCTGTAAGTGCTGCTCAAACGTTTACTGTTAAAAGTTAGGGCTCATATTTCGGATGCACCAAGTCAGACATTCATTCATTTTCTTGTGTAGGCGTAATGGAAAAATAAATTCATTACTCAAGTTAACAAATGTATTCAGATCATCGAGGGAAAGAAAAATCCCCACAACTCGATCACGTTGAACCATCGAATCATACGTCATGCTCAGGCTTAAACAGCAGCACAGTCTGTTTCTCCTCTGAGACTGTGCATGCAGGTGATAATGAGTAACCATGGTTACAGGTGGATGCTCGCTCTGAAACTCTGATGATTCCTCATAAAAGATCTCAGGTTGTTGTTAGCAAACATTTGTGGGAAATAAATCAAATATAGAAAAATAGAGCACAAAGACAAAAACACTATAAAGAGTGATTACTGAAACCAAAAGAAAAGGGAAACATAAATGAACAAAAGAAATGATGTGATGTGAAGGTAGACGTCATTCAGTGGAAAGGGCCCAGTAACCAAATGAGCTGCCAGCTGATACATACCTGTGGCTTGTAGAATATTTAGCTGATGTAGAGTTTAGAAATGTGTTATCATAGAATGTAGAATTATTGTAGAGACACTGTCTGTAAAGTAATAAAGGCCTTATTGTGTTGTGAATTTGGGAGTAGATTGTAGAAGGCTTCTCCCCCACTGAGTGGAAATTCCCCAGAGGATGTTTGGGTGGGGGTCTCAAGATTTGTAACTGGATAACTGTGGTCTGGAAGGGAGAGGGGTTTTATGACCTAGGGAGTTACCTACACCCACAGTGTTTTAACTGTCACGCACACACATCCACACGCACACTCACTCATGGGGTAAAACTGATTTCTCAACAGGCTGCATTAAATGTGGCTGGTGTTCAGGGGGCACTTCTACTGAGCATTTAAGACATACAATGAGCTTCTCTGCAATCTGCTATGTGGTGAATTATAATACAACTTTTTAACTCAACTTATAAAGTTGGTAAATAACACGAGTTCACAAATGGGCAGAGAGCAAAGTCAAGTAATGTTAAAGCGGCTCTCTGTCCAGTTCTGCTTGTCCGGGTGGATGGAAGTGTGATTTTTCTGTCTGTACTCAATAATGCTACTTCAGCTGATGATTGATTTGGGGGACCTGAGGGAAAGAATGTTACACCTTTCTCCTCTTATTTGCTTTAATAGTTCTTCAACTTACTTTGGAAAGTTCTGATCAACACGACTGAGCCGTTTGTTATTGTAACTTTGCATAACGCAGCACTGCGGTGAACTCACAGCTACACTCTGTGCCATCATGTCTCTTCTGGATGCTGATGGTTTTCTCTCTAACACCAGAACTGCCCCCCTGTGGCAACACACAGGAACTGAAATGTTCAAAACGATCAAATAATCAACACAATGTTAGTCCACCGAGGACAGTTTGCCAACCTGGTTTTTCTCTCTATTTTTCCCAGTAATCTAACATCATCTATGGATCACTGTTTCCTGATGTGTTAAGAAAAGTTTTCATTGTAATCCAGTGACGTGCTGTGACTTTTACAGAACGGCAAGCAGAGACGGTGTGTATCTTCGACTGTTTAACAAGAGAAATTGGACCAGGTTAAACAATATTGTTTCCTGCTGTACGACTTTGATTCTTTAATGTACTGTATGCTGACACCCTCCTGCAGCTTACTGCAGTCTGCTTGGCTGTCTTCGCTGTATTTCTTCCACAGGCAGATTTGTGGGTCAGATCTCGTCGAGTGTAGAGCTGCTGAGCCCGGGCTTGCTTTGCACACCATCCATCCATCCATCCATCTTCATCCGCTTTATCCGAGGCCGGGTCGCGGGGGCAGCAGCCTAAGCAAAGAGGCCCAGACCTTCCTCTCCCCAGCCACCTCCTCCAGCTTATCCGGGGGAATACCAAGGCGTTCCCAGGCCAGCC